GGAATTGGAGGTGCGGACCATTCTGTAAATCTTGGTATTTTTTTGTATGACGTTTTATAAAAAGTCTTTTAAATCATATTTTACATTTTTCTTTTATTTTCCTGCTGTCAATGGTCCCTATCCTCCCCCCCTTTTTTATTCCTGTAGCGGTCATAACTTCTTACTGCGTTTTTCTTGCTTGATTACTTATTAGTAATTTAGCCCTAATGCATGTTGCACATGCATTTTAGGGGAATGTTTTTTTTTTTTAGTTCTAGCATGTCATTCCCCATTTTTCCTTTTCTCTTTCTTCCCCCCATCTTCTTTTCACAGATCATGTAGTAGGATTCTGACAGCCATCATCCTCACAGTGCTGCAGGAGATGCTGCCAGGTCTTTTTATCCACACTATCTGCTGGCCCTTTGGATCCCCTGCTGCTGCATATCCGGAGCACATTTATAGCCTCTGTGTACCTTCAGCTAATTGGCTCCGGTGTCTCTACCTGCTATGTCATTATCCACTGGTGGATTGGTGATTTCTGACATGCTGACATTAAAAGTGTGCTGCTTTTAATAAAGGTGTTTTTTTTGCTTGGTATTAACCTCAGCACCCTGCTTTTTGCTATTTCCTGCAATATAAGGTTTCTCACGCAGGGGATCCTCTCCAGCTTCAACAGCCTACAAACACTGAAAACCTGGCTCATAAGCTCACTTGCAGTACCACACTGTACCTCTTACTAGTCTCTTTGACTGTGTTGTCCGATTCTCATGGATACTTGGCTCTCTAGCCTTTACTCACAGTGCCCTGCTGCATGGTCTACCTCTGGCCTATGAATTGGGGTTCTACTGACACCCTGATAGGAGCCAACCTGACTCCTGGAACTCCTGAAGCTTTGAGAAAGGCTGTGGCCATAACTCATGAGCTTACATGGATTCCATATTTTCCACTGTGTGCCAATAAAGTCGTTATGATGAGGATATCAGTGGCTGGCTACTTTGTCATATATCCTGACTCCTGGAACTGGCTGGGCCCTCTGACTCCTCAAGGAGACCTTCTGTCTCCCCCACTGGGAGTGGTCTCCAAACTGGGAGCCCTGAGCTATCCTCAGACCTGAGTATATAATGACACTGCACACCTGTGTATTCAGCCAGGTTGCAGGTGTCTAGCAATACCCGACATAGGATTGAATGTTCCGATCTAGAACTACAGAATCCGGCAAAAGCCAAAGACACAGCTTTCTCTGGCCAGAACCACTAGTCTGGAACATCGTATTTACCTTAAATGCGAATCCTGTGTCACATTTCCCTATATCCTCACAGTGACAGAGCCTCATCCTGTCACAGCCTGGACAAGCACCTTCATGTCAGGATCATCATCTATTAATTTAATGGAATTTGCAGATTTAAAAATGTTGAAAATTACTTTTGAAATTACATCAATATGTTAAACCAACTCTATTGCCTATCTGAGGAAATGTAAGCAAACAAAGATTAGTAATAATTACAACACCAGTTGCAGCAACTTCACTCTTGCCTTTGTTGCAGAGCTACAGCCACTGCTGGTCTCTGAAACTTCCAGTTGTTAGATGCTGCTTCCCACTGCTGTGCATTTTCATCTATCAGCTCCTACATCACTACAGGACACAGTATTGATACTGATGTAGGTGGGTGGACCCATGGGGGGGAGGGGGGCAACTGACACACCTGAAATTGTCAGATATCAGTGGCTTCCATAGCTCTGCAACAGTAAAGATTGGAACTGCTGTCTGCAAGAGAGGTATTACCAATCTTCTTCAGGGTAGTTGTGCTTACATATCTTCCAGACTAGCAACAGGGTAGCTTTAAAGCTTGAGTTAGATTTAAGTTATTGGGTTTACAGGCACGTTAATACTTCATTTCAGGTAAATTACGATGGTAATGTCAAAGCATTAATAAATATTAATATACATTCTCTTCAGAGATATTGTATTTTCATATACTATTTTACTCCTTTGCTTAAACAGTTCAATGCATTAAATGTGTCTGTATACAGTTCCACCAATGACCTCAATTTACAACAGGAAAGACATCGATTGCCTCAAATCTTATAGATTAGCAGGAAGCATGACATAGGGTGCCATAAGAGATTTTCCTGTCATTCAAGCTATGAGATAAAGAACAAAGTATTAACCACATACAATGTCTAAGACATTTTAAATGTACTATAATATTGGCTGGTGGAATGTTTTGCTGAAGCGGACACGGTCAGCATGACGGAAACAACCTAAAGTTATTTTTGAAGAGGTAAGAAAGTCAATACGAATGTTCAGGGCCATCTGTGCTTTGCCAAGGCCAATTCTAAAGGGCATGCCTAACCTGTCCATCACACAGTGGATGCTCAAGCGCTGTCCAAACACCCTGCTGTGTTTCAGAATAATGAGAGGAACCTGTCATGTCCTGAGACCTTAGTAATTCATAAGTCAATATAGTAACCTGCATTTTAGTATTGTAGACCTAACCTAACTAGACTGCTGATGCAGCTACAAACCCTAGAGCACTGTATTATGTTACTTGATCCACTTAAAATATAAATGAAACCTTTTTGGAGTGCTTACTTTCCTAAATTTCATAATTATCTTAAAAACATGTTGGCATGGCATTCTTTACAATTGTTTGTTCAAAAAATATGAAAGAAAAAATATGAAAGAAAAAGGTATGGAACTCAACAAGCTGTTATTACCACCTATCATAGAGCTATTACCCCACATATGCAATGTCTTCAAAAAGTAAAACATCAGGACTTTATATATAGCATTAGTAAAGCAACAACATTTTGAAATGTTACTAAAACATGGGAAGGAGTAGAATCCACAAGTGTTGCAAAATAAAGAGGAAAAAAAAAAACACTTCAAATCCTTGTTAACTGTCAGCATTTGGATACTAAAAAACATTGAAACATATATACGTTGTAAAATTGGTCAAATTAGTTTACAGCACCAAAATCCTATTGCTGTAGAATGAAGCAAGGATCTTATTATGCGAGTCTGGGTGCAGAATGAACTGGCACTTTCAGCATCTCTCCCAAATAAGTGGGTACAACTCATACAATTGCAAAGCACTATTAAATTATCACAGTAAAAATTTAATTCCCATAATATAAGGTATATTAAATCTAAGGAATCTAATAAAGTCTAATACAACTGACAATTTTAAGTCCACCCATAAGGTAAACCGGATTCCCTTCACCAGAAAACAAGTACGGATCTATGCTCATGCACATGCACACTGCACACATGCTCAAACTGCTAAGCAAAGGGACAATGTTAAACATGCTTTTCCAGACACGCATACCAATTAACATGCACACTTAGCGCCCAGTGGCCTATTTAAACTGGCCTGTCACTATGAGCAGTTGTTGAATGGTCTTGAGCTTGTCCCAGAGTTCCTGAGTCCTGATCAACTGAACCTGCTTACCTGTATATGACCACTTGGACTTTGCCTCTGTTCTCCTGTTCATCTGATTATTCTGACCCCGGCTCGTTTGCTGGACTTGTCGTTACCTGCTAATTCTATATTGCTTTGCCTTGCTGCTACTGACCCTGAACCAGCAAAAACACAAATGCTCCTGCGCTTGGGGATGGACTCGATGCAGGCTACAACCACATTAAGAATGTCCAGGAAAATGCACACCTTGCTGCCCTCAATAGACCGAGGAAATCCAAATATACTGAACGAGGAAAGAACAAACAGAGGGCGCACAGGCCTAGTGCATTACCATAAAAAATGTTTAATAAGAAATAAAGTAGGTGTTGTACTCACAAACGACAATAAAGTCAGTGCACGTCATAAAAGAACAGCTGGGTCAACACCGTGCTGAGTAACAGTCCGCAATAGGGAGTGTAGACATCCAATAGACTGACGCGTTTCGAGGACTTGCCTCTTCCTCAGAGCCTCAGGGCACAGTTACAGTGTACAGTGCATTTAGGTGTCCAGTGCATTACAGTGTACAGTGCATTGCGGTGTCAAGTACATTACAGTGTACAGTGCATTGTGGTGTCAAGTACATTACAGTGTACAGTGCATTGTGGTGTCAAGTACATTACAATGTACAGTGCATTGTTTTGATGCATCTGGAATGTATTTAGTGGATCTAACAAAAAAAAAACTGTCTTTCATTAAAAACACAGTATATAAACATTTTGCAATTTAATTTTATTAAACATTATCTTCCCATATCCATCTGCAGTCGGTGGAATGTTTTTAAACCTATAAAAAAAAGTAAGGCAATTATGCATCAGAAGCTTACACTAAGGTAGAAGCACCATTTTGGACATCCTTCAACAGGAATTTAATTTTTGGTGGAATACTCCCCAATGTTAGTCTACTAAAGGGTTACTGACAGTGCAGTTTTCTTTAAGAGAACACTGAGAGTGCACCAAGTGATTATAATGAAGGTTGATTCTCCCATCCAGGAGTCAGTCCAGAAAGGACATAATGAAAAACATATAACATATAGAAAAGATAGCATTCTATCACAAAGTTTGTTTAAATCTTTGCACTGACCATTGATCACTTGGAGGGGTTTATTTTGTTCTCAACAAAAGTGGAGTTACAATATTAACTGAAGGTTCAGTTGGGCTTTAATTCACTGGACATTACCAACATGGAGGGTAATTATACACCTTTGTGTGAATAGCCATCCAACCAATCGTAAAGTCCAATAATTGACAAATAAAGCAGTGTCACAAATAATGTCACCTAACACAAGGAGCACATCTCCCCTGCAGCTTTAACCACTTGCCTACCGAGCACCTTTACCCCCTTCCTGCCCAGGCCAATTTCCAGCTTTCAGCGCTGTCACACTTTGAATGACAATTGCGCGGTCATGAAACACTGTACCCATATGAAATTTTTATAATTTTTTTTGTGACAGATAGAGCTTTATTTTGGTGGTATTTAATCACCTCTGGGTTTTTTATTTTTTCTTAAACAAACCAAAAAACACTGAAAATTTTGAAAAAAAAAGTTTTTTCTTAGTTTGTGTTATAAAATTTTGTAAATATGTGATTTTTCTCCTTCACTGATGTGCGCTAATGAGGCTGCAGTGATGGGCACTGATAGGCTGCACTGATGGACACTGATAGGTGGCACTGATGGGCACTGATGAAGAGGCACTGGTACGTGGCACTGATGGGCATTGACAGGCATCACTGATGGGCACTGAAAGGCAGCACTCATATATGGCACTGATAGGCGGCACTGACTGGCACTGATAGGCGGCACTGACTGGCACTGTTAGGTGGCACTGATAGGCAGCACTGACGGGCACTGATAGGCAGCACTGATGCACACTGATAGGTAGCACTGACTGGCACTGATAGGTGGCACTGACTGGCATTGATAGGTGGCACTGACTGGTATTGATAGGTGGCACTGACTGGCACTGATGGGTGACACTGAAAGGCAGCTCAGATGGGCATTGATATGTGGCATTGATGTGCACTGGTAACCACTGATATGTGGCATTGATGTGGTACTGATGGGCACTGGCAGGTGGCATGGATGAGCATTGACAGCTGGCACTGATGGATACTGACAGGTGAAACTGCTGGAGCTACACTGATCATCAGTGCACATGTCCCCTCTGAGGGATGCCGATTACTGGCTTTCCTCTCCTCTCGAGCTGTGTGTGACAGCTCGTGAGAAGAGAAATGCAGATAACTGGCATTTACCTATTTACATGCGATCAGCTGTGATTGGACACAGCTGATCACATGACCGAGCCGACATCTTCGGCTCTTTCCGTTGATCGGTGATCTGCTGTGTCCGAGGGACACTGCACACTGCCGATCGCTGCGCTGCATGCTCCCGGAGCCGCGCATGCCCAGTTAGAATGGGACGACGTCATATGACGTCCTCCCAGAACGAGAGAAAACCGCCTTGTGCCCGTCATTACACTATATGGCGGGAGGGAGGCGGTTAAACTTCAGCAAAGCTCCACGGTACAGACATACCCTTAAAAAAAAAAAAAAGTGGTTTGTTCACATTTGGTAATTTACTATATATATATATATATATATATTTTGGATAGTAAACCTACATCGACACCAGCAGGAGATATGTGAGGCTATAAGTTGCATAGATAGATACACTATATAGTAAGTGATATCAGGTTTTCTGTCTCTGAAATATAGGGATTAATGGATGTATATGACTATGTAGCAACCTGATGCTACTTACTGCTTGGTCACTTGATAAACTCCCATGGCTTTAAGTACCATCTCTATGCTAATGACACACAAATCTATCTTTCTACCCCTCACCTCACCCCTTCAGTCTCCTCTCGCATCACTAATCTACTAAGGGACATATCGGCATGGATGTCACTCCACTTCCTCAAACTTTCCAAAACTGAGCTCTTATTATTCCCCCCAGCCCATGCCCCTCTCCCTGACTTCTCCATCAAGATCAATAACACAATCATCAGTCCCTCCCCTCGTGCCAGGGTACTAGGTGTAATCCTGGACTCCCATCTGTCCTTTCAGCCCCAAATCCAATCACTGTCCAAATCTTGTAGACCTCAACTCCGCAACATCTCCAAGATACGACCGTTCTTAACCACGGAAACCACTAAGCAACTTATTTACGCTCTTGTTATATCTCGCTTTGACTATTGTAACTCCCTCCTCATTGGCCTACCTCATTGCAGGCTATCCCCTCTTCAGTCTATCATGAATGTTGCTGCCAGACTCATCTTACTAACCATTCTGTATCTGCCAACCCTCTCTGCCAATCCCTCCACTGGCTTTCCATTGCCCAACGGATAAAATTCAAAACACTAACAATAACGTATAAAGCCATTTATAACTCTGCCCCAAATTACATAACCAATCTTGTCTCTAAATATCACCCAAACTGTACTCTCCGCTCCTCGCAAGACCTCCTACTCTCTAGCTCCCTTGTCTCCTCCTCCCATGCTCATCTCCAGAACTTCTCCAGAGCTTCCCCATCCTCTGGAACTCTCTACCCCATTTTATCAGACTATCGCCTACTCTGCTAACTTTTAGGCGATCTCTGAAAACCTATCTCTTCAGAGAAGCCTATCCTGCCCTCAGCTAATACTGGAATCTTCTACTCTTCCAACCAGTCCCACCCCCACAGTTACTACCTTTTGTACCACTAGCCCCTCCCTCCTAGATTGTAAACTCCAAGGAGCAGGGCCCTCAAATCCCTCTTTTATTGAACTGTATTGTTGCTGTATTGTCTCCCGTTATATTGTAAAGAGCTGAGCAAACTGTTGGCGCTATATAAATCCTGTTTTATAATAATAATAATAAGATGTAGGAAGAATTTGACCAAAGGTTGTCATCAGTGTTAATTATCATGCATTTGGGTGGATTTTAGTATATAAATTATAAGCAAATGTCTTTTTATTGCGTTACGCAATATTTGGCTTGACTGGGGATCATAAAATATTCTATCATGTGGCTGGAGAAATTGATAGTGTGGTAATAATTCTTCCAATTCTGTAAGCATAATCAGATCAAACAGTAAGCCTGCTATACGTATGTTAGCTCAAATCATAATCTTTGTACCTCATATGCCAGTATGAATTAACTGGAAATCACTCTCTATTTTCGAGTCACATTTTGTTTTATTAGCGATATTAGCTTATTGCACAGAGCAGCTTTGCAGACATACAATGTAAGGTGGGAGAAGGAGGACTAAATTTACATGTGGGACCCCAGAAGAGGAGATGCGAGAATATATAGGGCTGCAAGGAGGAGATATGGGAATATATAGGGACTGCAGGGCGCCATTGCAAATAAATCACTGAAAACATTTCAAAGTTTTCCTGCTCTCCTTTTGCAGCTCAAGTTTGAACTTGATCAGTGGCTGAGCATCAGCATAGAATATATCCCATTGTGTAAACAAGGCCTACTGACCGAATTCTTTTTTTTTTATTTTCAGTTTATCAGTCACGGATTGTATTCTTAACATTAGACTTGCATGTCTTTCCCCTCTTGCTGACATTTAGGGGAGCCTAAACAATGGGTGGTTATGTCATGGGAATAACAAGTTTGCTACTGACAGATGTTTCATACTCTTCATGAAATCTGAAACTACTCCTACATTTTGACAGAGAGAAAACAAATTCACTAGGGGCAAGTTAACCGACCTACCATTTACATCCTTAGTGATGATACAGGGTGCTCTTTTACGATTATAATAATGCCCTTGATGGAAATCTTTTACAAAGCAATAGCAGATCTGGCAACTTTTAAGAGATAAAGTGTAAGAAATCATTAGCTGGCTAACTTATTTGCATCTACCATAAAACTGTAATATCCATTTTTGCTGGGCAAAGCCTTTGTGTGTTTATAGTCAAAATTTCAAATCAAATATTAATTTTTACATTGTATTTTAATAATTTCTAGCCCACTCTTTTTAATCCCACACACTTAATTCCTTGACTTTTGTGACACATATTCACTATGCCTTCTGAGTAATCACTGCTGTGTCACAGAATTCAGAGATCCTGCCTTCTTAACTACAGAGGTGCTGGGAGAAGGAGTTGCAGGGGGAAGAACCAGTACAGGAACCACTGCTTGCAGGCAGCAAGGTGCCATGGGATATGCAGTCCTTAGTAATCGAAAGAAAGAGGAAAAGCTGAAAAGCATGCAGGAAGTTGTGAAAAGAGATACGGCCAGCAGATAGGCAGAACTCACAACTTGAATAGAGATTTTTCAGGTAAGCTTCTATTGGATCGTCAAATATAACTATTGTGTGTATTGCTATAACAAAGCTGATGGTTTAGAATGGAAGTGTATGCTGTGACAATAGATGTCCTTTAATGACAGCACAAGTGAACTAAAAACAGAGTGACTAAACCAATTCCTAAAGAAGAGACCTGTTTTGGTTCATGCAATGCAGTCCAGTTGCTTCCAGTTTCCCAGTCCTTGCCAAAGAAAAACATTTAAAAAATGATGGTACCACCACAATGCCTCCACGGGATTGGTAAGGAGTAATCCTGCTTTCCACCATGCATAGGGTCTATTTTTAAATGTTTTCACATATGCTTTTAATTGGAGTCAATTAGAAAATGTAAATCCTGGGTGAACGTTGTCTGATTCTAATTTGAAAACATTTTTAAATAACCCCATAGTGTTGTGTGCTCAGGCCAGAACATTCCGTTTTGGTTTACCCAGACCAGAGAATTTTTTTACTTTGATTGCTGTTTCTCACATGTCTTGTGGAAAATGAGAAAATGAAGCTGTAATGCTCTCAGATGGTTTGGGATATTACAACTCAAGAGGCCTTGTCTTACCTTAGAGAGAAAAGGAGACCTAGACCTATTGATTCCTTTGAAGTCTAACATAGGTACTTGCAGACAAAAAAAAAATGTTCGCACTACAGCATTATTTTCAGTACACCACTGCCCCCCCACCCCCAACCCACAACCTACTAGGACACATCAAACAACCCAGAAGGCTGCAAGAAAAGGTAAATAGCTGTGTTGTCCTTTTCGCATGCACAGTTGAGAGCCAGCCTTGAGACTTCAGAAAGTCATAGCTGACTCCCACATTCAAGGTAGCAGTGCTGGAGAGCCAAAGCCCGGTTAAGAATTGGCTCTGGGGAAGATAGCACTGGGCTCCACTCCTGTTTATCAGGAGTCAGCAGCTCCAGTATTTGTAGCTGGTGACTTGTATTTTTTTTAAAAACCCCTTTTACACTTGCGCATGCCAGGAGCATGCACAGAAATGTGTGTTCCTGCACGTGCTTCCATAAAAGCGTAAAAAACACGCATCTTGCTTGCGATGCCATCAATTCTTAATAGCACCCCAAATATGCGTGCCAGCAAATGCACACAAAACGAACATTGCAAAATGAGCTAAAGTGCACATCACAAAATGTGCTTGGCTTAGTGCCAAAAAAAGGTACATGAGTTATTTTGCTATGTGTATGCTGTTACACGCCAAAAAATGTGGTGAAAAGGAGTGAATGTGGCCTAAATTTCCATGACAAACACAAGCATGTTATTCTCTCATACTTTGGCACACGACTGCATAGAATGTACATCTTACTTCACTAATGAAAATTAGGCAGTCTGACGCCTGAAGTGGTAAGATATATATATATATATTTATATATATATATATATATATATACTAAACACAATGAGATCTTTCCTCAACAGTCATAGCTTATAACGGTATATGTAAATTAGGACAGCGAAACAGACGAATCTCATTTTAATTGAAATAGTCTAAAACTCAGAGTGCAGACCATGTATCAGAGTGGAAATTGTAATATGATATAATATTGGGTTCGTTTCTCAACTCTAGTAGGTAGCACAGCCATTCCTGCAAATTGTAAGATTCCTTCAATTTCCTGAATCATAGCCTGACTAAATTAAATATCACAGTGCAATTAAATGAAAAAATGAGCTGACTGCAAGCCTCCGTAACCCTTTTAAATCTGAGCACACTGATATTCAAAATGTTATGTAGAGCAAAGAGTTGAGTGAGCGACAAAAATTTTTATGTTAGGAAGGCCTTCACAACAAATAAAATAAAACTATATTTTCTAACAATGTTGCTAA